TCCGTAGGTGATCAGACAGATGAACCTAGAGCCGATCCCAGAGAGCATTGAGGAGGAGATGTACGATGGCGTGACTGTCTCTTTAATCTGTAGTTATGCTTTATTTAATTAACTTTAATGCTTATTACGTTTTCGGGCAAGATCCCAAGTTGTTTGACTTTAAAAAGGCTTCCGCATTATTTTAAATTACTCCGATGGATTTTTATATGTATTGATAGAACGTTTGTTTAAAATTGTTTTGAAAATGTTGTATATTCGGATACCAATCCAGTGGCACACCGGTCCGCTGTCTCACGGGTTTGGGTTATGCGGGTTGGGGTGTTACAAGTCTTATTTCTCTTTAATTAAAATCTCTACCTTAACCACTGTCGAGGTGCCCTATCTGAGACAATTTCGAGTGATTTTTCTGTCACTTTAGAAGCTACCTCGTCTACTCTTAATGGGGAACAAATATTCCATGTCCATTTCGTATTTAAAATGGAAAATCTGAAACATATATTTGTTAGGACAAAGGTGAGATCACTTACTTCTCTTCTCTACCCTCCATCATGATCCAATATGTCTCAAACTTATAGGGGAGCTTGAACTCCACTCATTCTTTGGACCAGTAGGAAAGCATGGGCTCTACCTTTTCTTCTAGTCTACTATATCTTTGGACCAATAAGAGGGGTTAGGCTCTAGTCTTTCTCTCAGTCTAATATCTCTTGGATTTATAGGCTGGGTTAGCCTTTGTCCTCCCATCTGGCCACACTCTACTATTATTTTGGCATGTTATGGGCTGATTCCTTTATTTTTGTATTGCTGGGCATGTTGATATCAAGTACTTAGAATAATTTATGTCAATATTGAATATTAAAAGTAATTTACACGATTATTTAAAATTTATATTTACACAATTTTGATATGTATAGTAGAAAAACTTTTATGATGCTTTATCCTAAAATCTATTTTAAAAAATATTGTGATTCACATTTATTGTTTATAAAAATATAAAAAAACTAAAGGAAAAAGGCAGTATTTATGTCTTTTAATTAATCCCTTTCAATCATGCGTGATAGGATTAATGCAGGGCGAGGCTGCCAAGATTATCACAACCGAGTACGATTTTGAAGAGTTCACAAACCTCTATAACCAAAAAGAAGCCTTTTACAAGTAAAGAATTAAGGAGTTCTAGTTGAAACCTAGTTACAAGAACATAAAGTTTTTTTATTGTACAATGAAATAACAAAATCAACAAGCTGAAGGAATTTATAGGCAACTGGTGTACTTGACCCAATGGTCTAGAGGAAAATATTGAGAAGTACTTTTTGGAGCTCTTCACACCTCAAAGTTTGTCAAGTACATAAGTAAGGAAGATTGATTAGAATGACTGATTTGAGAGAGAAAAATGTGGATTAAGAATTGGTGATGGAGAAAAAAAGATTTTGGTCTCAAATTCGCGATGTGGTGAATTAGAGAGAGAAACAACTACCGTTTTTTGTCTTGATTTTAAGAATAAATAAAGACGACTTGAGAGATTTTTTTAGAAGTTGCTGATATTTAAAACTGAAGGAAGAACATCGGTCCAGCGGGCGGCTAATGGCGGTGTCGCCTGCCAAGAGCGAGCATAGAGAATTTTAAGTCACCAAGAGCGGTAGCTCTGATACCATATTGAAATATTAGAATAATAATATTTTTCATTAAATTATTGAGTACATGATAGAGTATATGTAACGCCCCGAAACCCGGCTTAGTATTTTTAATTAATTTATTTAATTAATTAATTATTGAGTCAGTTAAAACAAAGATTTATTTTCTAATTCGCGTATTTAATGTGAGGGTTGACCTACATTGTAGGGCTCGATGTTCTGAACCCGACCGCAAAAACGAATTGAGCATCAGAGTTACTGGGCCCAAGGTACGAGTGACGAATAAGGCATCAAATTTATCTTAATTGGTTAAGAAGTATAAAGTGGACCTAAATACGTAGTATTTATTAAATTTCATCTTAAATATCAGAGGGGGTTACACGGCTTTAGTCACACTCTTCCGTTCGTTTCTCCTGCCCTGTTCCTGTTCGACCTTCCCCTTCCCCAAGCGTCGTCCGTTCGTCCGTCAGCAGCCGCAGGAACGCCGCCGAGCGCCGTCTCCGACCGTCTCCCCTTCCCGCCGGCGTGCGCGAGCTGCGACGAAGGCAGCAGCGATTTTTCCCTCCTTCCTCTGGTTCGAATTTCTTCTTCAATTTCGAGATGTGAATGGTTGCCCAAATATCTACCGTTAGCGTTAATTCGTAGATTAGGATCTTTTTTGTATTAATTTTGCATTTGATTGTGAAATTTGGGTTGTTTGTGTGTTGAAATTGTTGGGGACTGATTTGGGGTTAACTGTGGACTGTTTTCCGGCGATTCGCCGGCGGCCGGCGTACGGGACAGCCCCGGCGGGTTCAATTTGGACCCAATTGGTCCGATTTGGATCCAATTGATTCAATTGGGTCAACTCGGGTTGAAATTGAGTTGGTGCTTGTGCAATTGGGTTCCGATTGGACTGATTTTTGTGCAAACTATTCGGTTAGGGAATCAAAGGGGGGCTGTCCGGGTCGTTGGGCCGGCTGTCCGAGCTGCCAGACCGGCTGTTTGGGCCGGTTGGTGGGGCTGCCCGGGCCTGTTGACAGGGCTGTTTGGGCCGGCAGTGAGGGGCTGCTCAATTGGGGCCGCGGGTCGGGTTTGTCGGGTCGGTCCGGCGGGGTGTTGGGCTGATCCGGTTGTAATTGGTACTGTTCCGGCGGGTGCAGCGGGCCTGAGGATAAATCCTTAGTCCCGAGTTCGCGACACAGGTAAGTTATTTTAATATTGTTGAGTTAAATCTTGTTGTTTGAGCATGACGGTAATCGGTGAGAAGTGATTCTTCCGATAGGCCGCTGAGTGTTTTGTTCTATTATGAAAATGTTTAAGTGATTGTTATCACTTGAGAACTGTGTTGAAAATTGGCCACCTAGTATACCTGGCGGATCTGAACTGAATTGGATAGTTTAATCACCAATAGGACTGTTGTTAGGTTCGGGCCTTGTGGAGCATGCTTGCAAATCCAGTGTCCTAGGGTTCAAAACTTACGTACGGGAGTCACTGTCCTACCTAAGGGATTCCTTGGTAGGGACTCCAACCCGCCCATTGAGGATTCTCTTTGGGTTTGTCCGAGCATTGGCCTCGAGGGATCTGCTCGAGTGTCCGTAACTCTAGTCTGTTGTATTTAGCCTTAGTGTTGTAGGGACAGAAATAGCCTTGGGAATAGGTGAATTGGAACTGTTGGATCCTTGTACCTAAAAATAAATGTTGTTTGTTCACTGATGTTGCTGATTATATAAATGGGATACTATCTGTGAAATTAATTTCTAGCGTTAGATATTTCTCTCACTCAGCTTTCAGTTGAGCGTGTAGTCTTGTTGTCTTGTTGTCTTTGACTGCACGCAGCTTTAATTATGAACATTTAATTATTGCATTATTAATTATTTGAATTAAACTTTGTTGAGGGTTGTCATTTTAATGCTTCCGCACGTGATAGACTTTACGAGGGACTTTTCGTATTTAACTTGGTGTTTGAATGTTTTTGAATAAACTGTCTAAATTGTTGTGTTGTGATTACCAATTTAGTAGCAACCCGATTCGTTAACTCCTTGGTTCGGGTTACGCGAGTTGGGGTGTTACAGTATATATATAGGAAAGACTCCTAACGCAACTGGAAATAGAGAATGGAAACTAACTAAAATACAACATCTACCATTAATGGGAATATGAAGCTGACTTGTAATCAAATACTACCATGACCAATACTACCATAAGTAATACTATTATTATTGTCTAACAATTTTATCGATTTTCTAGGATATCATCTGTTTGGAAGTTTCGAGTTTTTGTGTTTCTCGCCTTCTTTTGGGAGTTATACCTCCTTCTCTTGGAGACGCTGACATAGTACTCGTTCCCAATAAACAAGACCCAAAGGTTGTGGAAAATTTGCGACACATAGTCTTATGCAGAGTCTTTAATAAAATCTTGAACAAAATGGTTGCAAACAAACTCAAAAGTTCACTTCCAAAACTTATTTCACAAACTCAAAGTTGTTTTGTAGCATCAAGAGATATACATGGTTGTTTTGTGATTGCATTTGAATGACTACATCACTTGAGGAACCGGCGAAGCGATCGGGTGGGTTTGGTGTCCTTGGAAATTGACATTAGCAAAGCCTACGACCATATGGATAGGTCTTACCTTGATGCAGTTCTCCGAGCTTTTGGTTTTCATGAAAAGTTGTCACTTTCCTTATTACTTGTGTTACAAAGCATTGCCCCGATTATCCAATGTGGGGGTATTTACCAAGGTGACCCCATCTCTCCTTATCTCTTCATCCTTGGTGCGGAAGGTTTTAATCGACTTAATAAAAAGAAGGTAGATATGGGCTAAATAACAGGATGCTGAATTGCATGGAATGCGCCATCAACTAACCACATCTTTTTCCTAGATGATAGTCTCCTATTTTTTAGTGCTACAATTAATGAAAAAGGTCACACTTGAGAGGTACTTGACACATATGTGGCTGCCTCCGGTCAATTAATCATAAGTCAGCCCTAAAACGGCAATTCAAACTCGTGAGGATACTTGCTCTCGGCTTCAAGTTTTTGTGAAAAATGCTCTAAGACGCTATTTAGGGCTCCCTTCTTCTATTGGACGAAATAAGCAAGAGGCTCCCAATTATACCAAGGACAAAACTTGGATGCAAATCTCGTTATGGAAACACAAACTCCTCTTCTAGGCTGGAAAAGAGATCCTTTTGAAGTTAGTTTTGAAAGCCATCCTTTCATATATAGAATAATACACTTATCTCTTTTCCTACTCCCTAAACCCTTCTGCATTGATTTGGAAAGAGGTCAGTAGTGGTTTCGGTGCATCCACTAGATGAGCTGGGAACGATTGAGCCGCCACAAACTTACTCGGGGGTTGAATTTCAAACGCCTCCGAGAGTTTAATCTTGATATGCTTGAGAAAATGGCCTGTAAATTTGTGCATAGACCAAAGCTCCTTATTTTCTAGGTATTCAAAGCTAAATATTTTTTGACAAAGCTTATTTTTTGAAGCATGTAAGGGGTCAAACCCGAGTTTTATGTGGCAGATCATTGTTGAAACTCAACCCTTTTGTTCAAAATGGAGCTCGTTGGAAAGTAGGAACATGCTCTAGTATACGCATTTGGGAGGATCCTTGGCTTGGAGATAAATGCTACCCTTGAATAGTGACGCCCAATCCAGGGAGGAGGTATATCCAAATGGTCTCAGATCTAGTTGTTGAAGGAGGCTGAAATTGGCAGCGTATTGATGAAGTTTTTGAGGAACGAGACAAGAACCATATCCAAGACATCATGTTATCTTCAGTAAGAGGGGATGATATGTTGATTTGGTCTCACAAAAAATTGGAATGTTATAGTAACGGAGGAGTTTACATTCAATAAATTTTGAATCCATCTTTGGGAGGTAAAACATTGTCCACGATAAGAATTAAGAAATTTGCTTTGGAGAAAAACTCATATCATTCTTTCGTGTCTCAATAATTTGATTTGAGGGGGGATTCTAGTGCAAGACATTTGTCCTTTTTGCCATCATGACGAAGAAATAGTCCTACATATGTTCGTCTTTTTCCCATTCGCTAGAAGGGTGTGGGATGTTTCAAATTTAAGGTGGTTCTTGCTGGTGGTAACCTCCATGATCGATCTTTGGCCAACCATTTTATTTGGAATACTTGGCGAGCTAGGAGCGTTGTGGTTTGGCATGGAGATCACCCAACACCTCTTGGCACGTGGACAAAAGCAAGGTTGGGCTTTGCGATTGGTGGCATGTCAATTAAGTGTCCAACGAGCTTGCAATGGGAGAAAGTGGCAAAGAACATTTTGAAGATTAATGTTGATGCCTGAACCACTCAACCAGTCTCGTGGATGGAGTTGTGGGCCTAGGTTTCTTGGCAAGAGATCATAATGGTCAATTTGTGGTGGCAAAACACTTGGTACTACGTAAAAGCGTAGACAGTGACAGTTAAAGAAGTGTTGAGCTGGATAAAGTCAAAGAATTCAAAGAGAGTGATCGGCAAGTCAGATCGCAAAAAAAGTGATTGATAATATGAATAGTTCAAATGATAGGTCATATTTTTACTCAATTATATTTTATTGTAAAAATTTCTTGCCATTTGTGGTAAAGATTGTTGATTCTGTTTTATTTGTCGCTCTGCTAATGAGACGGCACATGTGTTAGCGTGCACACCTCTTTCCTTTTAGAGCATGGAAGAGTGGATTGGTTCACCCCGGCCCTAAATTTATTGCTAATTTAATATAATCTCTATTTAGTACGGAGTACAAGACCATGTGCTATGGGGCTTGACTCACGGACGTGAAGGAGGCGTCACACCCCGTCACAACGTGACCACCGTGACACTGCTCGGAGGCGTGACAAGGAGGGCTTAATGGTGGTCACGGCGTTACCCCTCCTTTTTTTATTTTTTTTAAATTTCAGATCATTCAAAAGTTAACACATCATCACTTCCCATCACTTTTTATTATTGCCGCCACAACACATATTTTTTCATCACTTTGCATCGTACATCATTACACCGCGTTAAGTCCGCCATAACACATATAATTACTAAAAATTAATCCCCTTCGTTGTATGTCCGCCCTGGCCTTTTAAGATGAATGCTAAAGTGTGGGTCCCGTGACAGTAGATTATTGGTAACATTCATCAATAATTAAAACAGATCACGCTACCAAAAAAAACCCAGATCACGCTAGCTATTTTTAACACATGCATACACGTGCAAGGTTTCTAATGGTATAAGAAAAAAAAACTAGAAAATGTTAAATGAATCTCATACTTACAAATTAGAATACACTTCAAACTAGAAAATGTTAAATGTATCTCATACAGTCCATTCACAAGTTAATTTTGTCTTTGTAAGCTTGGTTGAATCAAATTAGTCATTGTAAATAGAAAATATGAATCAAGTTAGTCTATCACTGCTAAAATTTTGAATTACCACGTTTTTTAAAATACCACGTTAATTGATCCAAGAGCAATGATATCGTGTAATAATTTTTGTATCAATTAATGTACTCATTTAAAACTGTATTAGATAAAATTTGTATAAAGACTAATTTGATTTGCATTTTTTTAATTAGATGGACTAATTTTTCTCAACGGAATTTACACGGATTAAATTGACTCGTGACTCGTGACTCGTGAGTGTACTTAGAGGGACCAAAACGAGTATTAACACATTTACAAATAATGTACTTTCTTCGTCCCAAATTAGATTACATGTTTACTAGCCACATGGTTAAACTTTATTTGCTCTCGTTATTAATTTTCGCATACATCCTCTTGAATACTCATTTTCGGATAACTGAATGTTGATTTACTACTTTACCTGAATTTTAGAAAAATGAGTATTCATTTACTCAAAAATGAGTATTCAGTTGCTCGAAAATGAGTATTCAATTATTCGAAAATGAGTATTCAATTGCTCGAAAATGAGTATTCATCAGTTGTTCGGAAATGAGTATTCAGTCACTCGTAAATGTGGACTTACTACGGATGTACGAGAAATATCGTATAAAGAAATACATTTCGATTTTTTTTCAAATAAATACATTTATATTGGGCAAAGAAATACATTTCTAATTTTTTTTCAAAATAAATCTATTGATTTCATTTTTGTACTAATTACATTATAATTTTTATTTAATTAAAGATAGCAATTTAAACTCAAAAATTTCAAACTAGTCGAATACTATAAAGATGGAGGTAGTATATAAAACGATCTACAAGTATGTGTTTAGTCTAATTTTATGTCACAGCCATTTGATTACGTATAATTAAGGTCTTATTTAGAAACAATATTTTTCAATTAATATCAACATTTTAAATAATTGTGGAGAACCCAAAGTCCTCAAATTGAGGGATGATATAGGGGTGTGCATGAGTGACGCTGTTGACTTTATAGACATCCCATAGAAATTAAAATTAAATTAAATCACACATCTTCTGTAGAGGTCAAAATCATAAAATGGGAACATGGCATAACTTTTTGGTCAAAATTCTGATTCAAGAAGAGAAAATAACACTTGGAACTACACATGCAAACAGCTTCTAACTGAAGCAATTCAACTAGGGTTGCTTTTCATGTTAGTACTGCTGAAACTTGAAAAAAACAAAAATTGGATACCATCTTGACACACAAGTAACAATGGGGGAATATTTTTATTAAAACAAGAAAACACATTGGGAATAGTTTGACCGTTTACCTTTTTCTGTTTATGTTTGGCTCCTGAAAAAAAAATGCCCGGGAAAGAAAAAGTGCCAAAAGATGATTATTCGTACTTTTTTTAAGGTATATTTGGAACCAGGAAAATGATTTGGAGAAAAAAAACTATATAGTCCCAAAATTTTGCCCCATCCCATTTTTTTTCTCACAAAAAAACACTTACAAACAGGTTCCAAGTAGAAAGAATTTTTCGCTTTCTAAGTAGGGATAAGGTCAGTGTACATATATTTATGGATAAGATGGAAGTCTGTGTCTTTATAGGCACATTTCTATCCCAAAAAAAGGTATGAAAGCCTTACTTTGGGGTATCCAAATAAGGAAGGTAAGAATCTCTCTAGTCAGTAAAGATGTATAGATCATAAGAGGAGCAGGGCATATGAATAAGATCAGGTGAATGAAAAGCAAAGGAAACCATATGCATGATTTTATACACTAAAGTTCACACAGGAGATACACAACAACATTATTGTCACAAGAAAAGAAAGAATATGAAATGTACAAGATTGTTGGATGCCCACAAACCTAGCCTTGATTTCTCAAAGAGTACGTTAATACTCGATTTAGTCCCCCAACTATATAATAATGTTTTTCTATTTAGTCGTCAGCTTTCTTTTCGGCTTCGTTCTTGACTATGCAATTTAGGCTCAAAATAGGGCAATATTGAGTCCTACTAGAGTATGGGCATGTATATCAAACCGAGTATATTCAAGGGCAGAAAGGGTAATACTGCATAGAGGATCGACTAAAGCGAGCACATCTCTCTTAATCAAATGGCCAATTAGAGTACTCACTATCATAGTGATGACTATCCTGCTGCTGGTATGTGGTGGTCTCCAAGTTGGTTTCAGGCACTGCATTATGGAGTGCACGGGAGCGAGACGAACCGAATGGCCATAAGAAAGACCACATTCTCCTCCTACCCTCCCTTCTTCCTCTCTCATGCAATCTCATGCTGCTGCTGCTGCGACTGCTGCTCCTACTTTGACTCATGGGGTTATTATGGTAATCACAATCACCCCCACCACCACTTGATCTCTCAGATGGCATCTCTTGGCGACATACCGGGCAAGAATTGCGTTGTTGGAGCCACGGGATGATACAATCCGAGTGATATAAATGATCGCAAGGAAGGGTTCTCGCTTTGGTTCCCATTTCGAACTTATCTTTACAAACAGGACAGTGGAGATCGGACCGGACATGCTTCCTTGATATAAAGACTATAGGAAGGGATTCAATTGAAGCTCTTGAGGCTGGCGCTGGGACAGACCGGTTGTTGTTGTTGTTGCTGCTGCTGCTGCTACTTATGACATCTTCAAAAAATTCCTCCACTCCAGGACCAATGAAATAATCGCCACCATGTTCTCTTCTGAATCCAAGAGCCTCATTGAGAAACTCAGTAACTCCTCCATTAATTGGCACATCGCCGCTGAAGATCAGCAATGGATCCCAAGAGGAGTTACTCTGTTCCGGCGGTGGTACCTGCCTATGTGTTGTTCTTGAGGACGACATTTGCCGCCTCAAGAACCCAGAGATGGCTTCGATGAACCTCGGCCTGTGGTGGTTGTTGTCTTCATCGTATTCGATTTCGACAGCCCGCATCTCATCAAGATCTTGCACAAACCCTCCATGGCAGTTTGGGCAGGTCATGCTTTGTCTTGTTACATGTATTGATTGCCTACAGCTATAACACCAGTGACTGCAAATGTCACTTGATGACATGTTTACTCTTACAGCCTCTGGATTAACTCAATCCAAGCTGCACATAAGTTAAAGAAAGATGCATGAACAAGACTTGTTAATGGTTTATGTGGATTATACAGTGTACCCAGTCAAGTAACCTCAATCCAATTCAATTACCATTTCCATCCACAAGCTCATTTTAATGGAGTGGAAGTTTGAATCATAACAAAGCAACCAGCACATAAAAATGCAAAGAACATAGATTAATTTCCCCTTGTCAAATCAGGTGCAGTAAAAAATTCCAGTTAATCATGAAATCATGTCTCCAGTGGCACTTCAGATTCTGCACTTTAACAGATTCAAATAAACGTTCAAAGCATAAAAAGAGAAATCCGGAAGAGGATTGAGATTCCCGGAATAAATCAAAAAGAAAGGGGGAAAAGAGGAGAAATGGAAGAATTAATTAGAGTATATATCATCTACAGCAAATTTATAGGATCCACACAGTGGAGTAGCAGCATTCCATCGCCCAAAAGCTTTCATAGCACATCAGTGAGCTTAGAACCCTAAACTAATTTCACGCAGCCAAATCTGGAACGAGAAGTGAAGGAATGGGAGGAGAAATCAAAGAAGAAATAGATATTGATTATACCTGCAATTGGGAGGGTGAAAAATATCGAGAACCGGGGTTGAAAATTTGCGGATGTAACGGATGAGCATGGAGATCCGAGACAAGGGAGGAAGAAGACAAGGAGAGTAGAGATTCTTAAGTCAGCAAAAACATGGAAGAGAGTGAGGGGAGGAGGGGATAATAATGAATGGCATCTGAGGGAGAGAGAGGATTTCACTCGTACCATACAGTAGTTTTTATAACCGAACCGAAGATTTATTTAATAAACTACATACATCCTCAACTACCCTCTCCTCAAAAAGGTAAATTCATCCCCTCCTTCTCCCATTAATTTAAACTGAGCAATGCTAGGGTACACCAAAAGGTGTACCCCAAATGTACATCACCTCTTTTCCATCACATATTTTATTTGATTTTTATTTATTTATTTTTTTTTAATTTTTTTACCTTTTCAGTGGATAAGGAGGGGGTGGAGGACATATGGGGTACACCAACCTAGCATTTTTCATTTAAACTTCATACTATTTCATCCATCTCCAATGGTAAAAACGTGTAAAATATTATTTTTTGAAATTATTTTATTTACAAATTGGTAGAAAAATAAAAAGTATAAATTACACCGTTTAAACGTACATCAAAACTTTTAAAAAATAAGATGCAATAAGAATATTTTATGTTATCAAATGGTCAATCAAAATGAGTAAATAAACAAAAATTATTGAGGGATTGAAATAATTAATATGACATTATTTTTGGGAGGAAGAGGATATTAAAAAATATTTTTGTTTTTATTTTACACTTCTTTTTAAATGCATATACATGTGTTTACTACCTTTCCCTTGCAAGTCTACAAAAAAATAAGGCGTAGACCTTAAGTTCATAATACTCCCTCCATCTCAGTGTAGTTGGCCAGTTTAACTTTCTCGAGTCAAACTGGATAAACTTTAAGCTTCAAACAAATAAAAATCGTAATGTATTTTAACACAAAAATTACTTTATTGGATTTATCGTATTGAAAACTTTCAAAATTGTATTTCATTATGCTAATATGCAATATAAATTCAGATATGGTTGAAAATAAGTATTCAGTTATTCGAAAATGAGTACTCAGTCACTCGAAAAATGAGTATTCATGTCGATGCATGGAAACACTGCACATCCAGATGTATGGTGTATGTCCTCACCTTCCAAGAATATTTTTCAATTATAAGTTACGGCATGAAGTACTTAACTACGAGTTATAATACTTAATTGAATTACTTTTATGGTATGTTTGGGAACATAGATTTGGATTTCAAATTTAGATTTGGCTCAAATTCCATGTTTGGGAAACTTAAAAATTCTGAATTTGGATTTGAATCAAATTCTTCTCATTCATAACAAAGCTTTACTTGAAATCCATGCACCTTCCCTTGTCATTTGAAATTCAAGCTTTCAAATTTTAGAATTGAAATGCATGAATTGAAATGAAATGCTAGTTGCCAAACACTACCTTAATTTAATTTATACTCCTATAAAAATTTGTGTAATATAAAAGTTTTATATACTCCCTCCCTCTCATTTGAATCTTTCTATTCCACGTTATAATGCGACCAATTTTATTTTTAATTTAATTTATTTGGTTGTAAGTGTAAAATTAAAAAATAAAAATTATACATTTAAAAATTACATCAAAAGGTCTACAAAACTAGATTTGACAAGATTATATTATGTTATCAAATGAGTAACAAAAATAGTCCACCACCATCAGCGTTGTCACCGACCCCAACCACCCCCACCGCCTCAATCTCTACCACAATTACCATTCCCACCAGACCTGCCCCAAAATATTTGATCTAAAAAATTGAGTATTAAGGGAGAGAAGGCAAATATATGCCTTGTCGTCGCCAACCCATTATCGCCTTACCATCACCACCGACCCTACCATTGCATTAGTCGCCACCATCGGTAGAAGATTACGGGGGGAGAGGTTTAACCATGTGAATAGTGTACAGAAAGATTAAAGAGGAACTCAGAGGGTATTTGAAAGGGTAAATTTGTAACGCCCCGAAATTAGGCCTAAAAGAATTGATTAATTTAAATATTAATTAATAAATGACTTAGATAGATCCGAACACTGAAAAATAAAAGTTTTTAGAAAAATATTTTTAAATGGGTCGCGATCCAGAGTCTGTAAATTTAACTTTTATAAGTATTTTTCATTTTCAAATGTCAAGCGAAATTTTTATTTAACTCGAGTTTCACCCTAATACGTGTAATTCCAGGTTATACGGATTGGGGTGTTACATTTTGGTATCGGAGCAAGTGGTTTTAAAAACGGTTTTCGCATCATTGAGTCAGTATTTTCAAAGTCCTGCATCCGCATCCTCCACGACATCTCTGCCCCGGGAAGGTAATCAACAATTAAGTTACTATGGCATAACACACATACTTAACTCGTTGAAAATTTGCTTCCTTTGAGTTGCTAGTATTCTCATAGACGCAATTGCAATAAAGTTTAGATTGCCTCAGAATGTTCTTCGTCGATCACAGTCGGCATCAAAAGAGCAAGGATTAAGAAGAAGGATTGTAAACCCAATAGGAACGACATATACGTATGTCATAGTGCGCGAATGGCTAAGTGAACGATGCGAATCAACTTCTGTCAATCTGAAGAATACGTTGAAGAAAGAACTTTCTCCGATAGAAAGTGAACAAATTCTCCAAAAAGTGAATCTGTCGTTTTCTAAAGAACACGAATAGAGCCTCAAAAACCAGATCAAATAGGACATATGTATCGAATCTGAAACACATTTTAGGAGTGAATATACATACAAACGTTAGAAAACCATATGGAAGTAGAGATATCAAGAAGTACGTCAGAAGCATGTGAAGTGATAGATTCTACTAACAGAAAATGTCGATATCCAATATAATGAAGTCACTCTGTCGAAGAAGCAACATGGGAAACTGAGGAGTCCATGCGATCTCTGATACAGTAGGGGAGGGGAAGGCAGCCGCTACAGAGAGAAGAGAGGAACACAGCAGAGGGAAGGGAAAAGAAGAGAGAGAATTAGGGTTTGCAATTTATTTCTTAATTAATTAATATGATGTAAGCATCTCTTTATATAGAGTTAAAGAGGCTCAAAACCCTAATTACTATGTTTTCTACCCTGACGGCTTAAGAAAAGCGACAAGGTAAAAGACCATAAAGAAACCCTCGAAAGAGTGTTATAATTCCACTCACCTAAGAAAATACTAAAATACATCAGTATTATTAAATCAAATAAAATCCTTAACATGGGCCGGAGGTTTAATTGTCCGTCCCGACCGCCTTGGTTGACTCTGCATCACGTTCTCATTAGTTTCACCCGTTCCGATTTATGTCTCGGGCTCCTCTGGAATTGCCATCGTATCCCGCCCTTCAAAAACATCCTTGTCCTCAAGGACGAATCCCGGATATGGCTGCCGAATAGAACTCACTGGCTCCGAAGTAGCATTCGCCTCATCTCCATCCTTTTCTCTTTGTTTGTTCTCTAAAGATTTTTTATTTTTTAGTTTATTTTTAAAAAAATTTCATAATATTTAAAAGTTCAAATTGTTTGTGTTTGAAATAATAATTAATGAAATGAAAAAAATTTAACATATACGACTCTTGTCTCAAATTAAAAAAATTATTTTTTTCCAAAATAAGAAATCAACATTTTTTGGAAACTTCAAAAAATGAGGATAGAAAAAGGAAATAAAATAAAAGAAAACAATAATACAAAAAGAAAATGAAAGAAAAGAAAAATATACTCCCTCCGTTTCTTAAAACCCTTTCTCTTTCATTTTTTTCGTTTTCCTTAAAACATTTTCTTTTTCTATTAAAAAATCACTTTTACCCCTACTTTTTTATACTCTACCTATCACATCATACTTTTCACTAATAACTAAACTATCATATTTTACTTTAACCCATCACATCAGAGGCAAAATTGGAAAGTCAACTAAAAATATACTTTCTTTATTTTGCCCCAAAGTTAAAACAAGAACCGTTTTAAGAAACGGAGGGAGTACAAAAATACTTTTGTTAGGAAAAAGAAAAATATGTGCACTAATAAAAATATTTTTAGGGGTGTCAAAAACATTTTTTAAATTTGGTAGGTTAAGAAAAAAGATATTAGATCACTTTTAAAAGCGCACACATCCTTAAATACCATACATCTAGATTTACGATGTTTCTCATACACCCGCATGAATACTCATTTTCAAGTAATAGAATATTTATTTTTGAATAGTAGAATACTCATTTTTAGCATAACCGAATTTTAGACAATTTAGCACTCCCTCCGTCCGGAAATAAAGTTTACGTTTCTCCTTTTTCTCCGTCCGAAAATAAAGTTTACATTTCTAATTTTAACCCACACTCTTCCAAAAATACCCTTCACCTTTTTCTAATTTTCTCCTATCCACTCACACTCTCTTATCCGCCCCTTCCTCCTCAGCTCCTCATTTACTCCACCGATATCTGACTCTTCCACTCCTCCAAGTTCTTCTTCGCCTCTTCTTCTCCTCACTCATCACCGATCTAGATCTAGATCTGTATACATATTCTCAGTTCATCCATCTCTTCAATGGAATTCCATGATTATCTATATGAATCATGCATTCCAGAAACCCAATGTGTAGATGGAGCCTACGTCTACAGCTCTGACGACAAGGAGGAAGACGAGGTAATCGTTCTCGAGAATAACGAGAACGTTGCCGATGTTGCCCCGGTCAAAGCGAAAGAGGTAATCGACCTTACCTCTGAAAGCGACTCTGTTATTCATCTGGAGAGCGAGGAGGTTGAAGTCATACTTCTTGAAACTGATACTGATGGCACAGAGGGATCTGATATCACTCCAACTGAGAATTCTTCCCAGATCTACTCATGCATGCGCCTCCACATTGATATGTTGAACATCTTACTTCCCAGTCCAGACCCTAATTTTTGGGCTTCATAGTACAAGTAGGGAAGTACTTTTACATCCTTTGTTTGCATTCCTTTCGTTATGTGATGAGTTATTGTGCCTGCGCAATATTTGATGCTGTGATTGTATCATAATGTGATGTTTTCCCAATCTATGATGACTGGATTTATTCTACCTGGTCTGAGAAAGGATTAGGTGCCGTGATGAGCAATTGATGAACTGTGGATGTTTCTGAGTACTTATTCTGTGTTCTTATTTTCTGCGAATACTAGATTTTAGTACTGTGATGAAGGATTATGGGCTGATTCTGAGTACTTATAATCTGTTAGTATTTCCTGAAGATATGAAGACATTAATTACTGTGAATAAATATCTTAGGAATAGGAAAATGTACTATGATGAACACTTAGCCATATGTGGGTGTTTCTGAGTACCTTATATGTGTTCTAAGTTTCCTTAAGTTCAGCAATGATGATGTGGTATAAAGTAAACAAAGGTAAGGTATGCTGGATGTTGTAAATACATATAGAGCAGGTTGTGTAGTTGCCTTGTTCTGAGTACATATATACAAAGGTTCAAGCACTTGCAAAAAACAAAAATATTTTAAGCAGTTGAAATTATACTCCCTGCCTACATCCCAAAAACCAAAAGCCCTTCCCCTGCCCAAAAAACCTTTTTGTTGTTCCCATTACATTCAGTTCAGGTCTGAAGAGAGGTATTCATCTTCCTCTTCAGGGTTGAACTGAATTATATCTTCAGGTGTACTCCCATTTCCTTCTCCAAGTAGTCTTGCTGTGTTGACAACTACCTCTGGGTCAATGTGAATGGACTTAGGCAGTGTCCCAGCCCTTTCCAGTCTGCCTTTGCCCATATGCTGCAGTTTATAATTGTTTCCTCCTTCTTTTTCCATGATTGTAGCCATGACCTGCTGATAACTTAACCAAACTTTATTTAAAGTTTCTGGTTTTAGAGCATCATAAGCCCCTTGAACTACCTCTAACAATTCCTCAACTGTGTTTGGAGCACACTGTTCTTTTAAGGACTGGATGGCTCTGAAAAACCCAAGATCAAGTACATTTAAATCTGGGGAGTTGGGGGGTTGGTTACCTAAGGTAATGTGGAAACCATTAGTGTTTCATGCAGCTACAAATTCTGAGTCTAAACCTTGAATGTGTGGCCTAGCATTATCCTGTTGAATATGAATGTTCTTTGATAAATTTCTAGGCCACTTCTCTTGGATAGCTGGAATGACTTTATTTATAAGCATGTCTTTTGTGACTTGTTTGGTAACTGCCTTGATTGGTTTGACTTCCAAGACCCCTTTAGCCCTGTTCTTGCTCCTTCTTTTGGCTTCAACAGTTTCAGTAAAATGAAAAATGCCAATTTTTCCATCCCAAAGAACAACTCCATTATCATCAATAAGTGGTCTACCAACCACACACAAGAACATGACTTTTGTAATGAATCTTTTTGATTTGCATGTCCTATAGGGGTCAACTTCTTCAGGAAGAAGGTAAAACCTCTGAGATGTTTTGGTCATAAAGAACCACTTCTCATCAATGTGCAATACATTATGAAAAGACTTGAATATAGGTTGGTGAGGCATACTCAAAGGTTCTATTTGGTCTAAACAGAATTTCAACCTAGCTTGTTTATTAGCAGCGGTAAGGTATGGTTTGATAGCATTCGTGTGACTCCTAAGCATACCTATTTTTATCTACTGATGGACAGTGGACTTTGGCTTGCCAATTGCTGCTGCTAATGTTCTGATAGTACCCCGCTTCCGGAGGGGGGTATCTGCAATGACATTTACATCCATTTCTGCCCTTTTCCTCTCACAATGACCTGCCATTTTGCTTCTCACATCAATGGCAACCCCCTGCTCTAATTGTTTTTTTACGATGACCCATATCTTGCCAATCGTCTGTCTCGAGACATTAAACTGTGCAGCAAGCGTGTTGATCTGCCCCCTCTGAGCTGAATAGGAACCATCAATATTCTGTTTTGAATTTCGAAGCAAACCTTCACTAATAAGCTGCCTTGTAGTTTTGTCAAGTTTTTTTGGAATTCATCTATGGATTTTTGATGAATTTTGCAGGGATCCAAAAACTGAAAAAAAGAACAAAAAAAAGAAGAAAAGAGGTTGTCATAGGCAGGAGGAGAAGAAGAAGAAGATGAGAGAAGAATGAAAGAGCCAAAAGGTGAAAGTGAATGCTTTTATATAACCAGTGGGCAGTGGAGGGATGACTGAATTGTTGGGGGTTTTTTGGGCGGGAAGGGAAAAAATGGAGGTACCTCCAATTTTGTTTGTAATGTGAATGTATTTGAATGGTTTTAATCATTGTTATGTAATGTTTGATTGGATGTAAAACATTGTTTAAATAGTGTTTTCTCCCAACTACAACCAATAGTCTTCTTTTTTTCCTATTCATGACCTACGCACCATTCATTTTCATTCCCTTCGGCAATTTGGTCATTTCACAGGGTTAGTCAACTTCCCTTAAAAATGACCAAAAGTCAAAACGTAAACATTAATACCGGACGGAGGGAGTATTATATTTAGTGACTCGAAAATGAGTATTCAGTTACTCATAAATTAATATTCATCGCGAATGTACGAAACACTGTACAATTGGTTGTACAGTATATATTGCATGCGGGTCTATAACGGCAGTACCCCACCTAAAGTGTTAAAAAAGATTTGTGTTATCATAGTCTTAAGGTCCACATATGAAATGTGGATTATCTACTTCCTCTATCCTAAAACTTTCTTCTGAATCACTATTCGCATAATCAAACCTTAATCACTTGTTTTACCTATTATCGTTACTTATTTGATAAAATAATGTATGTAGTCATGTCACCTTTTGTTTTTTAGAATTTTTTATGTGGTTTTTAAATATATAGTTTTTTAAAAATTTTCCACTTGAAATCAAATAGATTGAATGGAAAATAATTTCAGTAAAACCACGTAAATCGAAGTGGGAAGAAAATTTTGAGAAAACGACTAAAGTATGAGTAAAATATTAAAAATATACCAAAATGGAAGTTCTATGTTTTTATTCCCAAAATAAGAGTTTAAATGTATTTATAGTGTCAATCATGACCATGTACATCACTAAAAAGTATAATAAATGTCCATGTATCATGTCACATTACTACAATAAAAATGCTTATTTAAAAAATAAAAATATAAAATTATACTTTCTCTAATTTACTCCTAGATGATTTCCTAAATTTTAAGATGGAGAAAGTATAAAATTAGGATAAAGCTATTTCTACATCAAGGGTTTGTGCCTCAAATGTACAATGTAGATGTTTACCAATATTTTGTGTTGATGTAATGCTAATTTTTGTTAACTTACCAACACTTTATGTCAATATAAATTTTTATCAACGCATCAAGACTTTGTGTCAGTGTGAACCATAAAAATATTGGTTTATACCTTTGGTGTAAGTTTAGAATACAATTTTTGGTGTAAGAGCACGATTTGTCCTAAACAAAAATCATCAACAACTATGGTCCGGATCATTTTATTTTTTTTTCAATTCCAAGCTTTAGGCTCTTCGTTACCATCGATCTCCTTCCCTTCTCTTCTCTTTTCTTCTCTTCTCTTCAATTACTACTATGTCTGTCTTCCTCTCATCTCTCTCTTCTTTTTTCATCAAATCAAATCGCTGTTTGATCAGTTTGTAGCTCAACGGCTTAACCATGGTCTCTCTCCACTATTTCTCCAATGCATCAACAACAGCACCACCGCGGCAGAAGCTCGTCTTCTCCTCACCGCCCCCTTCATCATCTTTTCATGTTAACCTCTGCGGCGGCGGCCGAATCTCAGCCCCCCGCCGCACGGCGGTACTGATGTCCGCCTCCGCCTCCTCGTCTTCATCCACCGCCCATCATCATCAGAAAGGGTGCAGAATAATCGGGTGCGGCTCAGCCGTGCCCAGTCTGAGATTATCCAACCACGATCTCTCCCAATTCGTGGATACTAACGACGAATGGATCTCCACCCGGACCGGAATCCGAAACCGAAGAGTTCTTTCAGGTTACCTGATGATCACTAGTTTGCAAACCACCTCCTCAATATCTACCATACATTTTTTTCAAAGTTTAAAAATATGTACAAAATAAATTGCGGATGATTGACTAAAAATTACAGAAAGAGTATGCTACAAATTCAAAATTGATATTTGCTAGGTTTGTGTTGAAACTGATATCCAATGTCTAAGAATGACACTTGCCCCATTTAGAACACCATTTGATTCCAAAGTCAATTAATCTTGCGGGATGAAATTGAGGCCGGGGGAATGGATTCAAGTGAGGATTGGGTAAGGGATTTATTGAGAGTGAGAGGATAAGAACTATCAATTTTGTAAACGGGGCACCATTGGTGCCCAGTATAACCTGACGGAATTGTACCGACCAATATTTACCTTTAATAAGCAAAAAGATACACTGGTGTTTTTATTCAGGCAAAGAAAGTTTAACCTCGCTAGCAGTAGAGGCATCAAGGAAAGCACTAGAGATGGCAGGGGTTGATGCAGGGGAAGTGGACTTGGTTCTGCTGTGTTCATCCACACCAGATGAGCTTTTTGGCAATGCCCCACAGATTCAGCAAATGTTGGGCTGCAAACAATCCCCATTGTCTTTTGATATCAGCGCTGCTTGTAGCGGCTTCATCATCGGCTTGTTCTCTGCTTCTTGCTATATCAAAGGTAAAAACATCATACTCTCTCTGTCTCGTGATTTTCAATAAATTTGTCTTTTTTCGCCAACGGTTTTAAACTTTGGCGAATACAGCGGGAGGGTATAAGAACGTTCTTGTGATCGGGGCTGATGCCATTTCCCGGTTCGTGGATTGGTCTGATCGAGGAACTTGCATCCTCTTTGGTGACGCTGCCGCTGCCGTTTTGGTTCAGGTTTTACTATTTTGTTCTTCTTCTTCTTCTTCAGTTTCATTGTCTCTGTTTCTGGTCTAATGTACATAGCTCCACATTTTATGTGTATATGATAGGGGTGTGAAGCAAGTGAAGACGCCATGTTTAGTTTCGACTTCCACAGCGACGGTGATGGTCTACGGTACAGATATACGCGCTTTCAAGTTCCAATTCTTCCATTCTTAAGTATATATCCAGCGGAAAGTATTGTGGCGTAGTTCAACTAGTTGGTATCAGGTGTTAGAATCAAGTTTTAGATTGATCTTATAGTCTACTCCTTGTCTATAGGCACCTATCTTCTCCAATAAAAGAGGATAAAGGATGTGCGGCGTCCGAGGAGGAGGAAAATGGTGTTGGGTTCCCGCGGAAAGGAGGATTCTCTTACTCGTGCCTCCAAATGAACGGGAAAGAGGTGTTCAAGTTTGCGGTGCGGGTGGTGCCCCAGTCGATCGAGGCGGCACTGGCAAAGGCCGGCCTCTCTCTCCACCACGACATCGACTGGCTGCTTCTTCATCAGGCGAACCGGAGGATCATCGACGCGGTGGTGTCGCGAATGGACTTCTCTCCGGACAAAGTCATATCCAACCTGGAGAACTATGGGAACACCAGCGCCGCTTCTATTCCCTTGGCGCTGGACGAGGCGGTTCAGGCCGGGAAGGTAAAGGCCGGAGACACCATTGCCGCCGCTGGTTTCGGTGCCGGTCTTACTTGGGGCTCTGCAATCATAAGATGGCGCTGAAACCCCCCGCCGCCACTAGGCATCACCATAAGAGATGTATCCTCCGCCGGTTTGGAATTTTGGTGTATGGTTTTGGATTTTGTATTACCTTCATTACCATTGATTTTGCATTTTCAATTACAAAAAATTGCAGTGTCTCGTCTTCCTCGTATTTTGTTTGTTTGTTTGGCTCCTATATTGCTAGAAAATCTACGTAGTATGCTAGAAATGAGCATGTTTATTAAGGGCAACTTCTAAATAGGTAAGTGATGAATCAGTAAGAGATTTGAACCATTAAGTGCTGAATCAGTAAGAGGTCTGAACCATTAAGAGCTAGTATATTGCTTAACTATTCAGAAGCAAATGTTTGATCAATTCAGATAAGAGGTCTTAACCATTCAGACTCTGTATAATACTTAACCATTTAGAGGTAAATGTCTAAACCATTCAGACATCTGAACCATTAAGAGGTTGAAACAAACAGTCTGAACCATTAAGTGCGGAACTATTCAGACATCTGAACCATTAAGAGGCTGAAACAAACAGCCCCTAAATCTTGAGGTGTTCCTATAATGGAACACGCTACCATGCTTAGGCTCCGTTTTTTTCGGTTGGAAAAACAAAGTTGGAGTTGGATGTTGGAAAGAAACTGAAAGGAATTGGAAGAATATGAGAGAAGTTAGAATGGAGGGGAAAAAACTAAAAGGAATTTTAAAAAATTGGACCAGAAAAATGACTTCTTCATCTTTGGTGTTTGGTGAACTTCAAAAATCAAGGGTCAATTGGAAACAACCTTTTGTCAAAGGGAAAATAAACTTCCTTTTCGGGATTTAGACTTCCGGATTTTTTTCCCTGGAAGTCGTTTTTCGTCTCGCATTTCTTCTTCTTCATTTCGGTCCTTTCTTCGGCCTGTCTTCCCTCACCCATTTTAGTTTCACGCTTCTTCTCTCTTCTTCTCTACTTATTATCCTCTTCTTCTTTGTCCTTCACTTCATGCATCTTTTCCGGATGAGGGGAGACCAGCCAGGCTGCCTCGGACCATGGATCCAGTAGACGGCGAGGAGGACCTCGACCATTATTGGTTTAGACTGCAGCGGCTCTAGATGAGGGAGGGGGGAGATCGGCAAGGGTGACTTCGGCCATGGCCCAGCAAATGGTGAGGCTAGTGCTTCTCCTTTTCCTAACATATGGTGGTTCTACTTGAGGATTGGTATTATGGTAACCATGTATTGGGTCTTTTCTTCTTTTCCAAAACTCTATTTCCA